AAGACGACTGCTCAAAGCCAGGTGCCCAGCAACGGGTCGTAAAAGTTTGTTCTATGCCAGGAGCGAAAACACCAACATCGAGAGAGTATACGACGGTTGGTGCCGATCTACGCACAGCGTAGGTCTGGCAAATTCATCACATTGAGTACGGCGAAACATGCAGCCAACGCTCACAGTTGTCCTGGCTCTCGGTTAGGCAATCACGACTCGGGAAGCTTCCGCAAGATCCGACTGAGGACTAGCGATCAAGTCGGCTGTGCGTGTCGGCAAGACATGCCATAGTTTATGGTTGACAGCGTGGGTGATGAAGCTGGACATTAGGTGAATGATTACCATGGGCCTCACCGGCTTCGTAGATAAAATAAACCATGATCCAAATACATTTTGGTTCGCACAGCAATACTACTCGCTCGGTTGTTGAGTGTATCCCTTCTGCTTGAAGAGAAGAAGCGTGTAGTGCATGCCTCTGCATGCCGCATTTGCCAGAGCGGGTTGTCTGATGAAATCATCGGTGATCCATGCCAGTTCAGCAAACCGAGTCTTTGATGCCCACGGATAAACTGCCTAGCAAAATGTAAGGGATCTGGTAACGTAGGTAGGTAGTAAAGGAGGGATGGGCTTGACATTGGTGAAAATGTACCGGTGGTTGGCATGATGAAATAAGAAGTAAAGTGAAAATTTTTTCCTGCGAGAAGGACGGGATAGTGTGAAAGACGTGGGGTGATAATAGGACCTGAGGCATAAGGGTTGCCGTTACCAAGCATACTGATTGCAGGGTGGTTGTGGGGCAGCACTTAAGTCATCAAAGTACCTCTTGAAGTCTCTCGCTTAGCCTGCACAGACCTCCGCACAGACCAGCTTACTCTTTTGCTAGGGAAAAAAAAAAGAAAACAGAGATATCTCTATTAGCTTAGAGTGCATCTTAGATATAATATTATAAATCAGCTTTTTAGACAAATTTACTCCCAGGGACGCTCTTTTAATTTAGATTAGCTAGCCTAGAGTATATACTATTAGGAAAGCTTTCTCTTGTTGTTAACTTGGAGTTGAGGATTTGAAGTTGGTGGTGTGGGTGGGGACAACAGAAGTGGCTTAAGAGGAGGTGGGTTAGTACTTTGAGATAGTCTGAGATGCTGAGGTTTACCCTGGTATCCGTATGCCTGTTAACGGCAACCGGCATGAGCGCTACCCAGTGGAGCCTGAGGTTGGAATGGTTTTGGTCCAAGATAAGATAAGACAGTGTATTCCTACCCCCGGTGCTGGTTTGTAGGAACACGCTCGTCATGCATCACTTTTATGGGCTAAGCCAAACCCTTGGACTGTTCACAGGTTCCAATCGATGGTTGCTGTCCCATCATTGGTCGGCTGGGCGTGTGACATAGCTTCTAGAAGCCTGCATCGAAGATGACTAGATCGGCTCAACCGACGGGAGGAAGGGAGGGTGTGGTTGAGAAATGTCATGGTGTCATCCTTCTAATGCCTGGTTGGCTCCTCTCTGTCTGCCTTGAAGTGCCTTGGAGGTCATCAGTTTGGAGCGAGCCTGTCCCGTTACCTTGATTGCTACAAACTGATCTCCGACCCCTAAACGGCACAGTGTCATGCTGTGCCTCTGCTCGCCTCACATCAGCAGAGATAATAATCATTTCTATGACTCTCGCCCCGGGCCCCCGACCCCAACCTCCCTCACCATTGGTCTAGTGTATCTCACCGCTGCCAACCGTCAATGGCCTCTGTCGCGGGGGGGTTCAAGCAATGATAAGATTGCCATTGAACAATGCCGGGATCTCCAGGTGATACCACTCTGAACCATTGCGACCACCAACGAGTCGTGGAGCCAGGCCAAGCCCTGTAGCACTCCGAGGTAAGAGGCGTGGCCCTGCGAAGTCGTAACAATTGAAAACATGCGACTTGAAAGAGACGCTCCGGCCCCCGAGTACAAGTCCGTGGGAAAGCTGCCACAGTCAATGCAGGATATGTACGAGATATCGCAGGAGAGGGAGGGCCATCTTCAGCCTTTCGCTTTTCTCATTCTACGGATGCAGTGCAGGCACGTGAAGAGCGATCGCTTATTCGAGACCCTCTCCTTGAGCGGACAGCCGTAGGCCAGAGAGTGGAGGATCCGCCATAAATCGAGTCAGACTTGACGCCGTTAGGCGATCAGAGACCCTGAGAAGAGCATCGTGCCGTCAAACAAGACCTCCCAAAACATCGCCAGGCTGCAAGTTGCCCAAGTTGGCAAGACAGTAGTTCCTGAAGCACCCGCAAGGTCCAGAACGCCAATGCAAGTTCCAAAGTCGACCCAATTGCCGCCTGCATCTCGATGCCCTTCTGGCAAGGCAGTAGTGACATGGAGGGTACAATCGCCACTACTCGGTATGGTATACCCCGTCTTCCGAGAACAGGCAAAAGCATATGCAATGCAAGCGCAAATGCGCATGAGGGCCGTTGGGAAGATGGAAGCGAAGCTATGGCCAGCGGCAGGAACGAGGCCTTTCGCGCCCACCGCTAACATGGGGGGTTGGCTGAGACCATAAAGCTGAAGCCGGTAGGACTGTGCCCGAGGTCCCTCGTTTCGGGATACACCTGGTGTCAAGCAGAGCACTGTAGGCGGTTGTTGAACCATGTAATCAATGTCTCTTTCTTGTCTCTCATGTCTTGTGCGAATTACCCGCCAGATGCGACGACGCCACGGGTAAACGTGTCCAAGTAAGGAGGAGCCTTGGAAACGACAGGGCCGCCCCCTCTCGAAACCGCCCAGCACACGACTCCATGCCCTTCCCCCGTCCCTCCTCCTGGTTTCTTTCCACAGGCGCCGGCGGTGCGGCCGTCCAGTCTTGTCCCCATTATAATGCTCCGCACTCTGTCACTACTACCCTCCTTGCAGCCATGCGGGAGCCGTGTCGTTCTGAGGGTACCTATGGCTAAGAAGGGGGGGTTCGCCAGTTCCGTCGGGCCTAGAGGCCGCTGGGTGTTGGAAAATGAGGCTTCATCTTTCTACAAATACGCGAATGTCAGTCGGTCGTCTTTTGACTCGAGCTCCTGCCATAGGAACCTAGTCTTTCGAGAGCTCTGTTGGCAATTGTATCTCGTCATTCATTTGCTACGGCCGCGACATTTTACAAGAGGGGTTTTGACGGTGATTCCGCCATCGGTATATACTAAGAAAGTAACGGCGATTCCTCGTTGGGGCTTACCACCCACCTTGAATATGAGTATATCGTCTCGATGTAATGTCATCGCGTAGGCTCGGTTTCTAGTCGAACCTGGGCGGTTGAGCTCCATAGTCCCTGTAAGTTGGTGTCAGAGTCCAGTCGGCATCCCGGGAGAGGGGAGTTAGTATGACTTTCCACATGGGATCCGAATCAAGGACCATCTGCAAAGACCGTGAAGCCGGCCAAGCAACTTGCGAGAGAGAACATTGTAATATGTTCGTTTACGTCGCAGTGTTTGTCCTAGTCTATTATCAACGCCTCGTTTACAAAGCTAGTGTCCCTTTGAGAGGAGTAGGCTGCCTTGGGAAAGCGAACCTGACGACCAAGGTGTAATGGTCCATTAGGTACCGGCTTGGTGGACGTGTCAATACTAGTGTTTAAATCATACGTTCATAGTGTATTGGAAATTGGCCAAGACTTTTGCCCACTTCACCTATCTAGTCTCCCCTTGACCTCACTGAGACCCCTCGGGTTACCCAGCATGAGATATTTAAGTTCAACTTGTCGGTTGCGCCAGCTTCTCGTCCCAAGATTTTGCAATACATCTATGAGCTTCATATTCCTCCTGCTTCCGTCATAGGAAGGACCACTTCTCGCATGACCCGGTTGTAATCTCCGTTCAGTTGTAGTCCCATGCAGGTTACCGTCCCAGATACTCCGGGCTACGCTGGGAATTACTTGGGCCCAGATAACGTGCCTTTGCAGATCTGCAAGCCGCCATACCTCTCACGGCAACTTACTGGTTATGTAGTAAGAAGAAAACGAGCTCAAAAGAGAGGCATCACACGCTAGTTAGATGGAGTAATTCATAGTCCCAAATCTCAAGACCGAGGTGCTGCAGAGATTCACAATAGTATACAACGGCCGTCTACCTCCCTATCCTACTCAACAGTAGCCTGTATTCCATGCTTGTCTGCTATGGAAGGTAAAAACGGTCTTTGATATCGTCTTGAAGCTGGCTCGTCCATCGTGTATCCTAAGGACCTAGTAACCCTCCGGAAGGTTCGGTCAATGAAGGGGAAGAGAGGCTTTGTGACGGCCGACAATCACAGCTTGAGGATTTACTATTCCATACCCCCATAAGATGTTTATCAGGCTTCTAAAGAAAATAAATGACAAGAGAATTACCATACCTGCCAATGACCGTTTTTCCCTATGGGAATTAGCTAGGAACATCGATGCAGGTTTGCCATGAGCGGTGGACGCAGGATAGTAGGCTATACTCAACAGGTAATCTCCTGTATCTGAGAAAGTTATCCAACCGAGATCAGGCAATTCGGCAACAAATCAATCGCAATCAATCGTTGCCATCTTGCTTAGATTTCAGAGCCGAACCGACCCAAGTCCACTCCCCTACTCGACATGAGGAGTATGATCAGGAGCATGCATATATATATATTGCTGGTTATTTGCTTAGAGCCAGAATCCTGGCATTAGAAACAAAGACTGTTACTACAATCGAATACAAGCTCCAAGACGTAAGGTGTGCATCGCAGATTTGGAAAAGTCGAGTGTTTTGAAAGTCCTCCAATATGGAGTTCTTCAGGCATGTGTCCTCCGGCTGTTCACAACTGGCAGCATTGGTACTCAACCCAAGCGCCCAATGGCGGCATTACGAAGTGGGGTGGTAGTGGGGGGGGGGGGGGGGGGCTGGGGGGCAATGACGCAGGTTCATTACAGCCTCAATTAGTCCATAGGATGACTAGCATCTGTTTCGCAAACTGACGTCTCCTGAACACATCCCAAATACAGGACGGGCAATAGTATTTGTTCTCTTGTCACCACTCAATGGGTTCGCAGACGGACAACTCCAGCGATAGGTATGTGTACCCCTGGCCCGATCGACAATGAGGTGATTATCATCTTCACGGGGCTAATGTTGGATATTACACACAGCGCTGCGAATATTATATTCATAGGAGCTGGAGCGGTTGGTTGCTTCTATGCTTCGCGACTTCATCACGTAATAAACCAAATACCAGTTCTATCGCCAATCTGGCCGAGCTAACTCATTCGCCAGCCTGGCCGCAATGTTCGTGTCTCGCTCGTGGCCAGATCCAACTACAAAGCCATCAACGAGTCGGGCGTAAAGCTGCAGACCCATTCATTTGGCAATTACACCTTCAAACCACACGCGGCCTTCTCCTCCGTCGAAGCTGCGGCATCCGCAAACAAGGACGGCTGCAAGACGCAGTGGGACTACGTCTTCGTGACGACCAAGGCACTACCTGATCGTTCAGATGACTCCGCCATGATTGCCCCCCTAATCGGACCCAGTACGAGCATCGTTCTGATACAGAACGGTGTTGGTGTCGAGGAGCCTTTCCGTCAGCGGTTTCCCGGCAATCCCATTGTGAGCGCTGTGACTGTCGTCAGCGCCGAGCAGACGTCGCCAGGCGTCGTCCGCCAGAACCGATGGACGCGGATAAGCATCGGTCCGCATACAGACGGACTCGGAACAGGCGACCCCAAACTTGGCCGGCTCGGCACACGGGCGGTCGAGCAGCTCAGTATGTGGTGGGGCCCAGGCTGGGGTGGCATACGTGACGTCGAGCCTCATGATGAGATCGGGCTGCAGACAGTGCGATGGCACAAGCTTTGTATCAACGCGGCGTTCAATCCGAGCGCGGTGCTAAGTGGCGGAAGGGGCAATGCCGACATGGTGACGGACCCGGAGCTACGGGAGCATGTAGTCGGCATCATGAACGAGATCAGAACGGCGGTGCCCAAGATACTGGGGAGGGAATTTCCCGATGATTTGGCTAAGCCGGACCGGATCGTGAAGAGCACGGAGCGGAACACGGGAGCTAGGCCTAGTATGCTGCTCGACTGGGAGGCGGGGCGGCCGCTGGAACTGGAGGTGATTCTGGGCAATCCGGTGAGGATAGCCAAGGCACACGGGGTCGAGATGCCGCGTCTGCAGACTTTATATGCGCTTTTGAAAAGCGCTCAAGCAATACGCGAGGAGGGGACCACAAAGTCAAGACTATAGAGACATGGACCAGCTAATCACATGCCACCCAGTCACATGCCGCCCCCCGATGTTAGGATTCTCCGCAGAGGTTGTTGGCATATCTAGTTTTGGTGTCCACAGCCGGCCCCCAAACCTCCGCGTTATGGTCGGCATCACGGCGAACGGCTGTCGTAACCATACAGAAAATTGCGTGAAGGAGTTAAGGAACTTGACATGGCAACGCGCTACGTCTTGTCGTTGCCTGCATGCTTCTATGTAACCATCGATTACGAAGTGCTGAAGCCACTCAATCTGCCAAGAAAATTAAGTATAGTCATAGTTGGCTGGCTGCACTACCCGGACAGCCTTGCAGCAATTCCTTCGGACTGAGAGATGCGAGCATTGAACAGGTTGAGTGTCATGAGTTGTCAACTAGGCGACATTTGTACGTGGGAACGCGAATCCAGGCATGTCACCCGATCGCTGGCCAATCTTAACGGCTCGGGCATCCGAGCTGAAGTGACCATGGCATAAGGTCAGGAGAGGGCCATTCGGGCAACAATTTGGCCGATGTGTCTACCTAGTAACTAAGGGAGAGGAAGCACGTGAGAGACATGTGCACTTGTCGGAGCGCAGTCGGCAGCCGCAGATGGACCGTTGACGATCGTTGACGCCCTGAAATGATTAGCTAAACAGCAAACACCAGCGTTGCAAGAGGCAGGCTTTGGGGGAGAAAGCGACTCAACGAGATGGTGGCCTGACGTCCTCATGCATCCATCTCATAGCGGGTGGCGGTGGCGTTGCATGCCTCTCTGAATAGTAGTAGGATAAGGCAGGCGGACAGATGGACGAGGCAGGAAGGTTACGTTACACGGAAGCTTGAGCATGAATCGGTTATACCATGGAAAGAGAAAAGTTGGAATGGAAACGCAAGGGGCTAACCGAGGAAACACACAGTGCCTACACCGTACCCGGTACATAGCAGCCAGCTGATGACGCCAGATGGAGGAGGCCGGCAGCCGGGTTCTGATTGGCTTGTGAGGCTTGTATCTTGGATACGTGAAGCATGGGCCATTACCTATGACGGCATGACCCTGTGCACAGAGAGAGAGAGAGAGAGAGAGAGAGAGAGGTCTTGCATTCGCATTTGTATCCTCATCCAACCTGGCCAATTCCGCAATTCCGCAGTAGTTTACATGGGACATTATACGCATAGATCAAAAGCCTTTGTTGTTCAGGTACACTAGCTTAGGCCAAATCATCCACCCAACCTGCTGGCGTTTGGAACAATGGGAATGGGGAGTCAGCCTTGCTCAGTTCTTGACGTCGAGGGCGTGTACTTCAGACACTGTGTCTCGTTGCACTTCAGCCCTCTTTTTTGTTTTAACCATCCCGTCCATCGTGCGCACTGACTTTCTCCTCCTGATTTTTGCCTCTCAGGTTGGTGTTTTTGTCGGGTGAGGGATAAAGGATTCCTCACCCGATCTGGATTAGTGCCGACAGGGGTGAGTGTCTGTCAGCGCCAGTACCTAGGTACTTGAGTGCCTTTCCAGTAATGGTAAGATCTACACTCGCATAGCCTTTTCAAGCATGGACGATTGTAAAATCCCATTTATCCAGGATCACGAATTCATAATCTTGTCTTTACTGTCAACTGCCGAATTTGCCACTGATGCTTACCGGTACCAGCCCCTTGTCAAAAGAAAGGAATAGTGGTGAAAGAAAACCCATTGAAACACAACTTAAATGTTGTTTTGCAGTCGATATGTATTCCAGCACTATGCGCTTAGAGAGTCTGCATCATTGTCAACTGGGAAAGGAGTGGTTGATGAAACCCCTGCCGGGCCCTCGCTGACCACTGATCCATCTTCCACATCAACGAGCGTTGGGGACCAGGCTTCTACAAATCTCAGATATATCGGTCAGAATGCGACGCACGGATGCATGCCTTTCCAGCCCGTCTCTTCGGAAAGCATACGTAGTATCATGGCCAATACCAGTCGCTTGGAGTGGGAGCGGCCACGGATGACTGAAACCGCGACATTGGAACGGCCACGGTCTGCCCCACGCAAAATCGGTGGCGACTAGAGGAGATCGAATTTACAATTCCCCTCCATTCAAATTCTGGGATTCCCGATTGCCTGTCTGCACACACACCTGGGTTCCCCCACTTCCAGTGCATGGACCTGCCTGCCCTTCTCCTCCCCGACGATTCTTGGCTGTGTATCCGTACACTACCTGCGTTTCCCCCACCTCCGACTATGGTAAGGATGTTATTGTGTACCTGGTGAATTACACGAATTACACGTAAACTGCCTACAGTACAACCCACCCCCCTGGAGACCAGGCGGGTAGAACATCCTTATTGGTAATAGGCAAGGTACATACCACGTACTATGCAGTACGGGCTCCGTTTTTATTTTTCAGGGGGGGAGGCATTTCGATGCAGCGTTGTCGTCCAGGATTGCAGCAGAAGAAAGACGGCACAAGCAAACGAAAGGCCAGAACTGTCTTCTTCAGCCACAATGCATGTTCTCTCGGCAGACACCATTGTCCTGGATATGAAACACGCCTACAGCCATGACTGTAAGACGGCTCGGTTCCCCTGAGTCTGTCAATGTCGGCATTCCCCTTTCTACCTCCCTTTTCATCTGCCCGTGGCCGTAGTGAAGGTAGGCACTTGAGAGACTAGCTAGCTAGCACTAACGAAGCATCAAACCCCATCGAGCCTGTCATGAATCAGCGTTTCGGACAATCGCCGCTCAGAGCTCTTCGAAGCAAGCGGAACCGTGGTACTGAGGCACAGGGTAACAGGCAAATGGCGGATGGCCGGGTCCATGACGTTCCACGAAGGGCCACTTGACCAGTGATCGACACGCTAAGAGAGCCTCGGCCACCCGACGACCTTGCCAACAACCGCCCCTAATGCCTGTTTTTCAGCTGCCCTCCGTGCCTCCCTCCCTTCCTGTCATAGGTAACCTGGGGGGACCAAGCACCCGGCCTACCCTCATTGCCCTCCTCCTTTCCCCGATTAGAACTCCACAAGGTAGCGTAACTGTAAATACTACCTGTGTAGGTTTGTGTCTGTAGACTGGTAGGGAATCTCAAATGAAGGTCCCCTGGTTCTCTAAATTCTATGTCTTGTAGCCCGGCCCATGCTGTCTTGCTCTTCACAACTTGGCTTGTCGGTGGCCCGAGCTGTGTGCTGTGGTGTGCGGGTCGCAATTCGTTCTTGCGTCCCTGGAATCAAACCCCGTCTTTTACCTCAAGCAGTTCAGCGCCTTCCCACTCACCCTGCTCGATGAGGATGGCTCTTCCTCGCCACTCTTGATTTGGCCGAGGTACGTACGAATACCTGTCATTACCCTCGTCTCGCCTCCTTCTCAGCTGCCATGCCACAGCAGTGACAGTGGCCCAGCCACCTGTTGTTTCCTAGCCTTCCCTTCCCTTCCGACACCTTGGGCACCTATCCTAGTTGCCCACCGCCCCTTCTCCTTCTCAGCCCCCCCAAAGCCATTTTTACCATCGCGGCTCTATAACCTGCCTAATTTTGTGTTGTATTGATATGGGAGGGGAAGAGCTAGTGCTGTAGTTAGCCTCTGCTGGGTTTGTCGTTTGCACTGCTCCCGACTGCCGCTCAAGACACTTGCCTAGGTATTGATTGCTGCTATCCGTACTATGTACGGATATTGCCGCTATACCAAACCACGGAGCTAGCCACACCTCCTCCCCATCGACACTGAATACCCAACTATCTCCTGCCATGCACATACATGCCTTACCTAATGTAAGTCATTACCTCTTCTCCTCTTACGCCACCACCGCCGCCGACCCGAAAATCAAAGAGTCTCATGGCCGAGAGCTGTACCTACTTCTCTCCCTCTCGTCATCACACGCCCTCATCTGCATCTCGCTCTTGACTCCATATTCTTGCTCTTTCCCTTCTGTTGTTGCTCGTCGTCCGTGGCAAACCGGCCCTGCCTTCTGCACGCACACGCACCCACACATATCCTTCCCAACCCCGATTCAGCTCAGCACACACAATTGCATCCTACCCCCTGACATCTCCAACGCACGCCCCCCGGCTGAATGAGTAGACGATCTCGTCCACCGTAAACGCATTGTACCGCGAACAACCAGCGAAAAGCGAGCGCACATTCTTCTAGGGGGCTCGATCTCGGCGAGGACTCACCGTTGATTTCTTGTGCTATTCCTTTACACAAAGATCCTTCTTCGACCTTCAGTACCTCCCGTTTCTTACCCTTTTCCGTCTCTCTACTCCTTTGTACTGTTGTCTGTGTTCTTGTTCAACCAAGGTTCTCGTCCTGGTGCGACTTCTTCCGCCTCATGCCAAACCTCAGCAACTGCCGACCTTCGAGCCCCTCGCGAGGCCTCGTCCTGCTTGCGATTACCTGGGCGGGGGCTGTAGACTTCTAGGTCTCTGCTTCTGCTCTTCGAGCATGGACGCCCATTCCAGCGCATCGCGGCCTTCCATGGCCTTCGGCGACCGGTCCTCCACATATGATTCTTCCGAGATAACTCCTGTACCGAGCGTTCAGTCCAACTCTGCTGCCCAACAGCTGCCAAACTCGCCCGTGGCATCCACCGCCACTCCCGCCCCTGTGCCTCCCGCGAATGCAACACCAAGCTGTGCTTCCTCATGGAGCGCCAGTTCTGACCGCCAGCTCGGCCACGGTGTTAGTCCCGACCCGACAGATCGAGTTTTCCCAATCCGTTCCGTTGTGAGCGTCGACCGCACTGGCAGGACCTCTGGTGAACACGATTACTTCCCGCGAGTGCCTGACCATGGCCAGTATCAAGCACCCCGTCCGGGCAACCCTCGTATTGATACTGCCACCTTCGAGTCTGCCCCTCATCGCGATTCCACCTCAACGCCATTGTCTAACGCTGCCTCGCCGAGCGACCGTCATGGCGTACGGACGAGAAGGAAGATCGCAGGGTCCGGCCCAATATCCAGCGTTCAAGCTGATGCCGCTCGTCACAACAGTTCGCAACCACTAGAAATATTTCAAGATTTTGCGTCAGACGGCGAGGGTTCCTCTGCACAAGGAGATGGTTCTTCACATCAAATGTCCTTCTCCACCGGTGTCCTCGGCGAAACTGGTAACGACGGTCTGCTGACGACACGATTCAAGCACGTCGTGACGGATGAAGGTCACCATGTTATCACAGGCACCGATGGCGTTCTTCAGCGATGCGAGGATGAACCCATCCATACACCCGGCTCTGTTCAGGGGTTCGGCGCATTGGTGGCTGTTCGCGAAGAAAGCGATGGCCGGTTGTCTGTTCGGTACGCTAGTGAGAACACGGGAATGTTGATAGGGTATTCGCCACAGCACTTGTTCCGCCTCGGCAACTTCTTGGACATTTTGAGCGAGGAGCAGCAAGACAACTTGCTCGACCACATCGATTTCATCCGCGACGAAGATGCCGACCCAGCTGTCAACGGACCGGAGGTCTTTAGTATATCCGTGCGCCCGCCGAAGAAAAAGAGCGTCAAACTGTGGTGCGCCATTCACATCAACCCAGCACATCCCGACTTGGTCATTTGCGAATTTGAAGTTGATGATGACCGTCGGTTCCCCCTACGGCCGCCAGACGAGCCCACCCCGATGACCCCCGAGGATACGTTACAGTCAAACCCCACAGCCGAGGAGCTGGCCGAGAGCACTGCGATCCTGAGCAAGCCCCTGAGAGTTTTGCGGAGTGCGCGCAAGCGTAGAGGTGATGCTGGGGCCATGCAAGTGTTCGACATCATGTCCCAGGTGCAGGAACAGCTTGCAGGGGCCTCGAACCTGGAAGGTTTCCTCAAGATCCTAGTAGGCATCGTCAAGGAACTGACTGGCTTTCACCGGGTCATGATTTACCAGTTTGACTCGTCCTTCAATGGCAAGGTTGTCACCGAGCTCGTTGACACCACACAAACCAAAGACCTGTACAAGGGCCTGCACTTCCCCGCCTCCGACATCCCACGGCAGGCTCGAGAGCTGTACAAGCTGAACAAAGTAAGGCTTCTCTACGACAGAGACTTGGATACAGCCCGCCTTGTATGTAAAACAAAAGAAGACCTCGACGTGCCGCTAGATCTCAGCCATTCATACCTCCGCGCCATGTCACCTATCCACCTCAAATACTTGAAAAACATGGCCGTTCGCTCATCAATGTCGGTTTCCATCAATGCCTTCAACGAGCTGTGGGGCCTCATCGCCTGTCACTCATACGGCCGCAAGGGTATGCGTGTATCGTTTCCGATTCGCAAAATGTGCCGTCTGGTTGGAGACACCGCTTCACGCAACATTGAAAGACTGTCGTATGCCACTCGGCTTCAAGCGCGGAAACTCATCAACACGGTGCCTACTGAAAAAAACCCGTCTGGCTACATTATTGCTTCATCTGACGATCTCTTGAAGCTGTTCGATGCCGACTTTGGCATGCTATCCATCAAGGGAGAAACCAAGATTCTTGGTGATATCGAGCATTCGCAAGAGGCCTTGGCAATGCTAGAATACCTTCGGCTGCGCGAGTTGACATCCGTCGTAACGTCTCAGGATATTCGCGAAGACTTTCCAGACCTACGGTATCCTCTTGGTTTCGCCGTTATCGCGGGTCTATTATACGTCCCTTTGAGCGTCGGAGGTAACGATTTCATCGTATTCTTTCGGAAATGCCAGGTCAAGGAGGTCAAGTGGGCTGGAAATCCGTACCAGAAGACATTGCGTGAAGGAACAGCTGCGTATCTGGAACCCAGAAAAAGCTTCAAAAGCTGGCACGAGACAGTGCTCGGGAAATCCCGAGAATGGTCAGAGGAACAAGTCGAGACAGCCGCCGTCCTTTGCTTGGTCTATGGCAAATTTATCGAAGTTTGGAGACAGAAGGAAGCAGCATTGCAGAGCAGTCGCCTTACTAGGCTGTTGCTTGCAAACTCCGCCCACGAAGTCCGCACCCCGCTCAACGCCATCATCAATTATCTCGAAATTGCGCTAGAAGGCTCGCTCGACCAGGAGACCCGTGACAACCTTGCCAAGTCCCACTCAGCATCCAAGTCGCTGATTTACGTCATCAACGACTTGCTCGATTTGACCAAAACAGAGGAAGGAAAGAACTTGATCAAAGACGAGGTTTTCGATTTTGGAATGTGTATCCGTGAAGCGACCGATCCATTCATGAATGACGCAAAGAGAAAGGGGATTGAATATCAGGTCATCGAGCATCCTGGTCTGCCCCAGCATGTTTGCGGTGACAGCCGGCGGTTAAGACAGGCCATTTCGAACGTCGCAGCCAACGCTGTACAGAACACTTCGAAGGGCTATGTAAGAGTTGAACTATACGTCAGCGAGGTTTTAGATCAACGGGTATGTATCGAAATCGTTATCGAAGACACAGGAAAGGGCATGACTCCTAAGCAACTGGACACCTTATTTCGAGACCTTGAGCAGGTCAGCGTGGAGATTGATGAGACAAGCTTTATGTCTCCAGAAGACCTCGACCCTGGCAAGGATAAGAGGATATTGGGATTGGGTCTGGCGGTTGTCGCGAGAATCGTCCGCAACATGGACGGCCAGCTGCGCTTGAAATCGGAACATGACAAGGGATCGAGATTCGTCATACAGTTGCCCTTTGACCTCCCTCAAGAGGCAACCACAGCCGCCGAAGCCGGTCAGAGCTCTGCGAATTCGAATGCAGCCTCCAGCGTGGCGTCTGTCACAAAAGCGATCATGCCGGATAAGAATGGCGAGATGATGCTGATCGATAGGGGAAGCAAACTGTCTGTTCTCGACGAAGGAATGGCAGACGCGGGGGGCGCAGAGACACAGAGTTTGGAAAGCAGGAAGAGCGTTGCTACAGCAGGAAGCAAGAACAGTGGACGGAGCTCTCGAAGTAATGCCGAACGCTTGTTCGACGCGATGCAAACGTCTCTTGCCATCGGAGATGCCGACTCGAACCGGCCAGCTGCTCACCGGCAGTACTCTAGGGAGCATTTTGGTCGACCATCGTCCTCGGAGGGGCAGAATACCTCATCCGCCTCGGCCGCCAGACTGATGGAATCATCAAATCCGCGTGGAAGCGACCTGAACATCTCGAAAACTGTCACAGCCGAACCGTTACAACGTCCCGAAGTTGGGTTTGTGAGCGTTATGGATGCAAAAACGCCCGTCAGGGCAGTTAAGGTACCTGACACATATTTCGAACAGCCGTCAAAGGTTCAGGAAAGTGAATCATCTCGAGTCCTGTTTGAAGTACATGACCACCCCAAGGATCCGGGGACTTCGGATGCCGGCACTATAGGCACCGCCCCCAGCGTCGTCCTGGGTGCCGACAATACCAAGCTGCAAGTCCTCATCGCCGAAGACGATCCGATCAACTCGAAAATTCTGCGAAAGCGACTGGAAAAGTCTGGCCATCAGGTCTCTCACGCCGTCAATGGAGAAGATTGTGCGACCATCTACCGCGAGAAGTCCATGGCCTTCGATGTCGTCCTGATGGATATGCAGGTATGTCACTACCGTTTGTTTGCCTCGTCAGATGTGTAACTCTTACCAATATTTCTATTTTACAGATGCCAATCGTTGATGGACTGACAAGCACGAAAATGATTCGAGCATTCGAGAAGTCTAGTGACCATGGAGGTCACTCCGCAATAGCGACCCATAACGGCGGAATTCCTATCTTCGCGGTCTCGGCATCCCTCATCGAGCGGGAGAGGGACAAATACATAGATGCCGGGTTTGATGGCTGGATCCTCAAGCCAGTCGACTTCAAGCGACTAAACACTTTGCTGCTAGGCATTGTAGAGGACGACGTCCGCGCGGCATGCCTTTATGCTCCCGGCCAGTGGGAGCAGGGAGGCTGGTTCAATCTCCGAGAAAAAACGAGCAAGGTCGGTGTTGACCAAACGCCGCCGGTTGAGACATCGAAAGTCTCGCCCACAGATCCTTCATCGAAGGAAACAATCGATTGTAGCTTGGACGCCCAAAGCTGAGAACCTCCTGTTTTCGGAGCATTGGGCCTCTAGGCAGCCGGAAAGCGTAGCACTCAGTCCACAGGCACCGCGGGCTACTCTCTCCTATTTCTATTTTTTGCCCTTTTCGTTCTTAGTGTCATGCGAGTATGTTGGCAGTGATGAGGACTATCACCGTCATTTGCATAGCGCCAGGACCTCATAAATCTCTTTGCTTCCAGCTTCGCATGTGCGCCGGCAGTCCAGCGAGTATCTTACGAGTAGTGCATGCGAATTGTACATCGGCGAGTGGTAACCAGTGTCAGCCATGATGACGTATCGCGGACACGGAATTATGTAGTCTATGTGCTGGGATGGGGTTCAAAACCGGAAATTGGGTTGTCGAAACGTGATGACATAGAATCAAGGCGGTAACGGAAATGATACCATGGCAGAAGCATACGGGTTGCATGGGAAAGGAGGCTCGGCAGCTTGGCGGTCGACCCTATTGAGGTCGGCGCCGGGGAGGCGTTTTTGTTTTACATACAGTACCTGCGGGTTCTCTTGGCACTGGATGCAAATATACCACCTCAGTCCCTTTTCATTCCTCGATTCGCATTTTTTACTAGCCTCGAATTGTTTGAGATGCATTTTGCTATCTGGGCTCAGGTCTGGTCCCAGCACAGACAATTCCTTCACATGTGTTGTCAGCTTGAGGACGACTCTAACAATCGCTGGAAGAACTTGATCCCAACTTTCCACCTCGCCATCGCGACCGTGGCAACTCTTACCCTCATTGATCTAGGTCCTACGTTGCCCTCCATAAGCGCTTGTCACATTGGGGGTTGTTGCATGTGTCAACTTTCAGCTTCATGGGGTAATGGTCGTATGATAAGGGCGATATTCTTGTTAACCATCACGCCTTGCGTCTCCTTGCGTCTCTGATCTACTCTGAGAGCTTTAAGTAATGAGCAAAATGCGATAGAAAGCGAGCTTGGCTCCATTTGCCACCTGCCTAGACACAGGAGACAGAAACGGGATGAAAGGTACAAGCGACGGCAACACAGCATGAAGACATGTGAGGTGCATATCAAGACTTGTTACAAGCAGTCGGTGCGTTCGAACTAATCGAGGAGGCACCCTGTAGATGGCCAGCATCAGAATGATGAAGTGACAGTATGAGAGGCAGGCTGCTGTTGCTTTCGTGCATAGCCAGAGTGAGCCCACGACTTTGATGTCCTAACACTCTGGGATGCCTATTAGCCCGGGGCAGAAGGCAACGATCACGGCGGTGGCGGCAGCTAAACCCGTTGCAAGGATGCAAATGAGGGTCTTCAAGTGACCTCTCTGACGAAGTCGTGGAGGCCATTTGGCAGAGAAGCGGTACGTTTCGCTGCAATGGCCTCCGCAGTAACCCGCTGCCAATGGACCAGCGGAGATTGTGTCGATTCGTAAATATATCGACATTCTCAAAGATCTACGTGAACTCTCCTGTTCTCCACGTCTCGTGTCGGAGAAAGAATGGCAAAATCAACAAGGGTTGGACAGCGACAGAGACTTCGTCGGAGTTAGGCAATAGATGAACACCTCCAGTCGCATATTGTTCAAGTCTTGAAACGTGTTTGTTCTTTTCCACTATTACTCGGGGGTGTTAGTAAGCAAGCTAAGAAATCTAAACACCCCCTCCTACGGAGGGGGCGAAAAAAGGGGGGTCGCAGCGAAAAAAGGGGGGTCGCACCTATATCACAAATAGTATCACTTTTAGGTGTAATATCTAGTATAACTAACTATTTATTTCTTAAAGTAATAACTATAACAACTATATATAATAACAAAAGTAGTATTAATTAATAGCTCTAAATTAGGGCTTTCTAACAGTACCTTTAATTTTTTATTTACATAAAAAGCACAAATTTATATTGTAAATATAATAAAGCTATCACTAGACGTATTATCTACTTTATGTTACTGCCTCTTTCTTTCTTATAATAATAGGGGGGTAACTAAAGAGTTTAGCACTTACTTAGTGCTTTACTAAGTATAAATATTATATATAATATAATAATATATTAATATATATTATAATATAGTTACTTATAATAGTAGTATTATTAGTAGATATAGTAATAGTATATCCTTATTATTATTATTACTATTAACACTAGGTATACTAACTAATTTATTACTGCTTTTAACCTTATTATCGTCTTCTTTAAGGGGGTTATCAATATTAGCAAACATATCTAGATTAAAATCCAGCTCTGCTGCTACTACTACAGCATCAGCCAATACTTAGTTAACATTACACTAACTAAGGGGTCTTACTAAATATTTAAATTAGTTAAGTATATATAGTAGATAAGGAGTTAGATTAATGTTAATAGTAAATTTCTTAGGCTTTATATTATGCTAGTAAGGATCTAAGGTATTAAATAGGATATAGTTATTAACTTCTTTAGTATAGACTAACTACTATTAAAAGGTTAGTCGCTTCCTCTTGCTATCTACTAGTTAATACTTTATTACATAATATTATAGGCAGACTTTTTTTTCCTTATCGCAAGCAGCCTTCTTAATAAAGGCCGTCTGCTGCTAGATCTCTACCTATATAGCCTTAGTAATTTGTTTATTACGTGCCTCTTATATATCTGTAATAGTAACACTTAATATAAATAAATATAATAGCTTTATAGCTTAGTAGGCTTGTTTTTTTTGCTATAATATAGCTAACCTCTTGTTATAGTCTTTAATATACTACTGCCTGTACTTATAGCTAAGAGACCCCTCTAAAATTACCCCCTTTATTATTTTATATTACCTCTTTAAATATAGGCTCTATTTACTACTATATTTATTCTTAATATACTATACTATAAGTATTACCTTATTAAATCTGTTATTATTTAGTAAGAAATATATAAGGTAAGATAGTATCTATAGCTTAGCCTCTTATATCTTATTAGAAGTAAGAATATCTCTAAGTATTCTTATACTTCTTTATCTTATATTTCCTCTATTATAGAGGTTATATATATATAAGATATATATATTTATAATCTACTTACTTAGTAGATTAATATATATATTGATTACGTAAGCATGCCTAATTACGTAATTAACTAAAGATTAGAGAAGGTACTAGAATGTCTAAGATCTCTCTAGATCCTACCTTCTACCTCTGTTATTCCTATAAGGTTATTATTTTAAGTTAGGGTTATTTACTTAAGGTTATTATGTTACGTAACTAAGGGTTAATTTATAAGCAGCTTACGTAAGTATAGAATATTCTAGTAAGCTGTATAGGTCTATATAAGGGCTAGAATTCTTCCTATTTCTAGTTTCCTTTCCTTCTCTCTCTAAGCAAGCAAATAGTTAATAATCTAACTACTATACTCTCTTTTAACTATATATCCTTATATCCTCTATTTATTTACCCTAGGTATAAGTATTTATATCTCCCTTTTATCCTATATTCTTGCTTCTATAGGATATATCTTTATATAAGAGATATACTCTCTTATATTCTCCTAAGCTAGAATTCTCTATCTAAGAGACTAGCTTACCTGTTATGCTAACAGGTTATAAGCCTAGGTAATATACCTAGGGTATCTTTATTACTATAAGAGTTATATATACTCTTAAGTAGCCTATTTATTTATCTATTTATAAAGTAGACCCCTTATACTATCTTTTCTTTATAAGAATATTAAGGCAGAAAGAGTAAGCCTTTAGTATCTCTTATAACTAAGAGAAGTATTAAATATCTATTATAGATAAAGGCAGTATAAGTCTTACTATAGGCAGCATAAGGTCCTTTATCTAAGAGGTAGTATAAGTCTTAATAGCAGCTATAAAATCCTCTAGCTGCCTATATATCTTATATATATAAAGATATATATTTATAAAAAGGCAGAAAGAGTAAGACCTCTATAGGTTATAAGAATACCTATTTAAATCTAGTAAAATACTAAAAAAAATAGTAGATATTATTAAGGCTACTACAGGCTGTTTATTACCTCTAGAATAACATCTTTAGGGTATAAAGAATTAGAATTTCTAGATTACTTCTATTTATCTCTTTTTTAAGCTATTAAAGCTTAATACTTATTTTAAAGAAGAGATAAGATATAAGGATATTTCTAAAGAATAAAAAACATAAGCCTTATTAATTATAAGGCAGAATCTTTAAAAAGATCCCTTATCTTTAGTATTTAATTTAAAAGATCCTAAGGATACTTTAAATATACTAAAATCATCCTATAAGGGAACAGGCCCTGTTCTAAGGTAATAATTATACTTAGAATTTTACGCTATTAAACTAGAGAATTATAATACTTTAAATAAGTTTATTAGCTTTTTTAAAGGTTATATCTTTAAGTTAAATAACGTAGAGGCTAAAATAGAAGATATAAACTAAAAAACGGTCTTTATAGCTGCTTTAAGTGGCTATTTTCCTATCTAAGCAGAAAGATAGAGAAGTGCTTTAAGAACTAAAGAGCCTCCTTCTCTAGAAGCCCTTATTAACAATATATTAGACAAAAACCAGTATAAAAATAATACGCCTATATCTAATAATTATAGTAGAAATAATTACCCTTCTAATAAGGGTAATTCTACTAAAGAATATAAGAATCCCTTTAATAAGGATAAGAAACCTTATAAGTAGGGAAATAAAGGGTATAAAAGACCTAAAGAAAAGGTTAATAACCTAGATTTAAACCTATAGCCTTTTAAAGGCAAAGAAAGGGCAACTTTTACTATAAACTAACAAGCTAACTAGCCTCTAGAATTAGAGGGTAACTAAAAAGGTAAATATTACACTTATAAGGCCTATTATAACTATTTAAATTAAAGAAATAAATAGTTATATAATATAGGTTTAATAGTCTATATATTAAATAATAAGGACTTTTACTTAGACCTATTAACTAAGGAAAATATTCCTATAGTTAATACAGAAGTAGGACCTATTAAACCTAAAGGAATAGGAACTATTTTACTTTTTATTTACTTTAAAGGGGAAATTAACTATATAAGGCTAA